TCTTTTCTGTTGTTGAGACCACAATACACAAACTTTGCAAGCTTTTATAGTATGTAGAAGCTATTTGGCTCATGCTACTTGAACACTGTAAGGGAGATACATGATTATGCTGCCACTGAAACTACTGGCTTAAAGAGTTTATCAGTATTACTCAAAAGAAGACTGTCTCTATTTTTGTTCCAGAGAAAACATCTTTTCTTGATTTGCTGAAGCAAGTACACCATGATGCACCAGCCATGCAGCCTGAATGATTTCTCATTAAGCTCAGTGAAAAAACTCTTGCTGACTTCAGTAGTAATCAATTAGGGACAAAAAATTAACACAAGATAAAGAGAAGTGATGACAGTGGGATGGCATATGGTCACAAAAACCAAAATTATGTGCTAATGATGTGCATATAAAACTGAAGTGCTACCTAAAAATGCTTTGGAGTCATACACAGAAGAACATGGTGCAGTTGGTTGAGCACATTATGTTGGCTTGAGATTCTACCTGCACATATTTCCATCTCTGCACTTTTGAATGTGCATATCCCATCTTGTAATTATTTTCCAAGTATAAATGTTTTGTTGGGTGGGGTAATAATGATTTGTGCTTGTTGTGATTAATATAATGAGTTCATTCCTTTCAGCAATGTATATTTTACATCCCTGTTTTGTTGTGTGGAATAAGCTATCTGTGGCACTATCAGCAGCTCCCACTGGAGTGAGAAAGCATTAGATGTTCCATCTTTAAATCAAACCACCTCACTGGGAGTTCAGAGTCCTTTATTCAGCAGGGAATCACACTGCTCAACCCTGGTGACAGGTTGAACAGTAACTGTCCAAAGACTGCAAAGCAAATTGGCACAGCACCCCACTGAAAAAATGTCTGTGTGGCTCCAGAATGCTTTTCAGAATGCTTTTCAATGGTGTAACAAGCCTTCAGTTGCTTGTAGCCATTAGAAATCTTTCTACAGCTCAAATGCCTACTATCTTTTATTGTCCTTGCAGATGTGGTATGGAGCGGTACAAGCTCTATGTATAAATATCACAGAACATGGTGAGCCTATGAGGGCTTCTGCATTTGTCACTGGCTTCAGAACAACTGCAAAATTTTTGGGCACTATGAAATTAAAAAGGCATTAATCTATCTAGAGAGCATCCAGAGGAGGATCACAAGGCTGGTGAAAGGTCTGGAGTGGAAGCCTTATGAGAAGTGGCTGAGGTCACTTGGCTTGCTCAGCCTAGAGAGGAGGAAACTGAAGGGAGACTTAATTTCAGTCTTTAACAACCTCACAAGGGAAAGCAGGAGGACAGGCAGTGATTTCTTCACCCTCTTGACCAGTGTCAGGACCCAGAGGAACAGCATGAAGCGAGTCAGGAGAGGTTTAGGTCAGGTATCAGGAAAAGGTTTTTCACCATGAGGGTGGCTGGGCACTGGAACAGGCTCCCCAGGGAAGTGGACACAGCACAGCCTGACTCAGTTGGACAATGCTCTCAGACACACAGTGTGATTCTTGGGGATGGTCCTCTGCAAGTTGGACTCAATGATCATCATGGGTTGCTTCCAACTCAGCTTTTTGTATGATTCTTTGATGAAGTTCAGACCACTTGAAAGAACTTTGGAGTAGCAGAACAGTCTGCAAGACAGATGGCATCAGAGCATCCAAGAAGTCCTGCTGTTCTCCTTGCATGCTGTTTATGGTTGGCTGATTATAGAGAGAAAAACTCTCTGGGAGTTCTCTCCCATACGCCTGCAGAAGCAGAAGGGCTTGCCACCACATAACCATACTGCCAAAATGTTCTGGTTTTATACCAGTCCTTGGACTCTCTGTTATGCTAGGGCTGATTTTTGTCATGTCTTTTGCTCTTACATGACCCCCAGTTTCCCTTCTTAGTCTCTCCTCTCTCAACACAATTTCTATATGCTGTTATTCTACAGTTCTCCTTTCTTTGCTTCTCCTATTACTTTATTTTTCTCTTTTCATTTCTATTTTTTTCATTCAGTAAACTGCTCCCCAGTCTCAGTTCTCTTGCTAGATCCTTTACTTCATAATTCTCTCTTTCACTCCTGGCATATTCAAACATTTATTTCTACACCATGTTCAGCACCCTCAATGTACAATTCAGACAGCGTGTCTACTCTTCCCCCTTGTAACTGGCATTTTGCCACCCTTAATATATGTAAGGATATCATACAGAGTAAAAGAAAAAGCCATAATGGCAGAACTACACCATGATATATGAGAGACAGTTTTCAGCCATGGGGAACCATAATATACAGGGGCAATATGCTCATCATACATACCCATTATCCCATCCTTAGCCTCCTTACCTCACTGATTTTCTGAGTGACACTTAAGCAGGAGCAACACCTAAACATCACATAAGCAGGAGCATGTGTGCCTCCTTTGCAAATCACAGCTAACAGTGCAGGAAGAACTCGATTCTTTTCAAGGCTTCTTTTGGCTACAGAGCTAACATCCAAATTCTGTTCAAATGTGTAGTTTTTGATCTTCAGTGAAGGATCATTGCACATTTTCTACTTTACTTACTCATGGCAATGATTGTTTCTCTAAGAAAATGCTACCAAACATGTGTGACAAATCTGAGTGAATATAATAATTGCAGTTATAAAACAAAATCTCACTATGTTAATTAAGCAATTTTATTTCTAAGACAAGCTACTTTGAGAACTTACACTTACAGAACACACTGTAATTGTGTAATTGTAGTGTACCAGCAAAGCAGAATAACTTAGATTTGCTATCAAAAGCTCTGTAACAGAGCTGTCAATACTCTCCACTAAATCTATCCAGCACAAAGATATTATTGAGGGAATAGTCAAAGTTGCTCTACTTCCTTTCTATTTTGCTTGTTAGAATGCCTACCTGCTACATATTTGTAATCAATCTTGTGCAATAGCTAGGCTGTTGGCTTATCACTCAAATTTGAACCCTAAAGATAAAAAGCATGCTTTTCATCTGATCCTTGTCCTTTGACTTACATTACTCAGACAGCCAGTTGCTAAAATTTCCATCAGTACAGCTGTATGAGTCACTTCATCTAAACAACCCATGTCTTTAAAGGGCAGACCGGGAGATGAAAGAACCAAATTTTATCTTGGGCAACAAGAACTACTGTTGATATCTATTGGGAGTAAGATTAATATAACTGGGAATAAGAATGATGTGAATGCAACAGAAGTCTGACAATAGCACATTAAATAATAGCAATGTGCAATCTGAAGTAGCAATTTGCAGAAATAATTTGAGGCTAGAAGGAGATGTCATAAAAGTCTCACAAGCATGTGAAAATTATTATTTGTTTACAGCTTATCACTTACTACAAGTAAAGATCTTCAAATATTTGGACAGTGCTTAGCAGTCCACACAAAAGCCAGCCCAGTTTGAAAGACAGGGCTCATGACTACCAGCCTGACTTCTTTACCAAGTGGTGCTTACTCTTAAGAAGAGAAAGGAGATACATGGGAGAGGGCAACAGTCCAACTGCTGTTCTCAAGAAACGGAAGACACCCAGCACTCAAAACTATTTCATACTATGTAATACCAAATGCACCAGTTTAGCCAAAATAAAAAACTGAAAGGCACATGAAGGAGAGGGTAACTGTTACTCTATGGAGAAAAAACATTGAAGTGCAATAGAAACAAAAAATGAACAAGCTTGAAATTCCAGATATGGAAATTGATGATTCTGAACTGAACATGGTTTAGATCACTCCCTGTTTCTGACAGCACTTAGATGTTTTAAGATATTAGGGCAGTTATGTCTACTAGAAAAGGCATAGCACTATTATGGCCAATGTTGGATTTATCACATATTTTATCATTAACTACAGAGTTAGCTTTGCTAAAACAAATATCTGTTCTGTAATTATTCATCTGTCAAATATAAAATTTCTAAAAAATAATAAAACTATCTTGAGTGAAATAGATAAACATGGATGCAGAAGATTCTTGCACAGATTCTTATCAGGAACATTATCTTACAAATATTATTGTTACTGTCTCATGGCTAATATCTATACATAAAAATCTTGGACAAGTCTGCCAAGAACCTAGGTGTGTACTGTAACAATTAAAATATATCACTCCTTCCTTTGTTTGAAATAACTATAAGTCAGTCAATTGCAGCAAACAATATATTAATCAAAAAATGATTGATACAAGTTTTGTCTCACTTGTTCCTTGCATCTGTAACAGAGAAAAAAAACAGAAAACAAGACTTGCTTTTCTATTACTGTTTGTCTAGATGCTTTTTCTCATTGCTTTTTTTTTTCCTAAGCTTTTACATTGTAATTACCTAAACGTTTTGATTCTTCTTTTGCATGTTCTTCTAAGGTTACCAGCATGCATGAACTGTCAATAAAATTATGGGGCAACACAGAGTGCTATCCTATCTGGGAGGACAGGAACTGAGACGGCAAACAAGATGTTTTCTTGCTTTATGCATCTATCTCCCTTAGGGATTTTACCAGTCCTAAACTGGCTCTTCTCTCAGTCTCTGTATGAATCAGTTGCTCTGGTGTTCTTTGGCAGAAAATCTGAAGTCAGTCTATCTCTACTGAAATAAATGCATGTGGATTTACCAGGTTCCTCCTGTAGCTTTGGGACAGATGACTAATAATCCTGACAGCTTGGCTGTAAGTTTTCAAATAAGAAATAAATGTTGTATGACCTAGCAGAGTAACAGAGGATCCAGTGCATTGTTGCTTTTCAATCAGGCTGTACAGTAACAGAATGGTCTAACTCTTAACAAAATAATTTCTCTACTAATATACATATGATTAACTGAGTGTCTCATGGCTGCAAAATAATATCCAATGAACTACCTTCTTCCAGCACTGCCTTCATCAGAGCTGAACCATACAAAGAGCACAGTGACATCAGAAGTACAGGAAGACAAATATCTCTGCTTTTATCCTAAGCTTTGGTGGATTCTAGACACATGTGACTCTCTGAAGACTTCTTACACAGAGGTTTTTGCTTTCTTTTACAGATATATGGCCATTATTGATCCCTTGAAACCTAGGCTCTCTGCAACTGCTACCAAGGTGGTCATTGGGAGCATATGGATTTTGGCATTCCTGTTAGCCTTTCCCCAGTGCCTATACTCCATAACCAAGGTGATGCCTGGAAGAACTCTCTGCTATGTAGCATGGCCAGGTGGCCCAAAACAGCATTTTACGTAAGCTTCTGTTCTTTTAAACTTGTGCATGGGGGTGTTTAGACTTACAATGGACTTGGCAAAATCTCTGGAGTCGTGCAAATGCTCTACATGCAGAATAACTAACAGCTTTGATCACTGAGAAATGTAGAGCCATAAGTAAGGATGATAAAACATTACATGTGATAGAACAAATTCTCCTCAATATTTGAGTGTGTTCCCTCCTGTGCTGCACTTTTACTGTCATTGCTCAACATAGATGGCTACTTCTATACAGACAGAGATGGTCAGAATTGGGAACATAACATGCATTCAAAGCAAGCTTCCTCTTTATCCTAACCAGGAAAACAAGGATTTCTAGTCTCTCCTTAGCATCATTTAGGTTGGAAAATACTTCTAGCATCATCAATTCTAACCACTGACCTTACACTACCTAGTCTATCACTAGACCATATCCCTAAGTGCCACATCTACACATTTGAAATACATCCAGGAATGGTGAATAAATTGATCATCTGGGCAGCCTGTACCAATGTTTGACAGCCCTTCTCATGAAAAAAAAAAAAAAATCCTAATATTCAGTATAAATTCCCCCTGGCACAGCCTGAAGCCATTTCTTCTCTTGCAACTAGGGAGAAGAGACAAACATCCACCTCATCACAATCTCCTTTCAGGTAATCGTAGAGAAAGAGAAGGCCCTAACCAGGTTTTTTTCTCTAGATTTCTTCATGGAAGGGGTGGATTTTGCCACTTCATTCTGTTACACTATCACAATTATGTCAGATACAAGTCCAAAAGAGAAAATTGGATAACCTGTAACTGGTTCCACTTTCTGAAAGTGAGAATATCAGTCAATTAAATTAAATATATCCTGTTTGTCCCTCTGGTAGAATTAAGAATAAGTGGCTACTTAGGTATCTGTCCTTTCATGTCATCACTGACATTTAAGAAAAACATCATGTTCAAGGCTGAAAGCTTATGTGACCATCTAGAATCAAATTTGACCTTCTGCTCTTTTTGAGGCAGGTGAAAGACGTCCTAGTCATATGTAATTTTTACCACTTTAGGACTACACACAGACATTTCTCTTTAGGGCAGGAAGGTCACACTCAGTGACAGCTGGGGATTCTTCACTTACCATTCATTAGGATTTTATCTGAAGCTGGCATTTAACCAGGAACTAACAGGAGACAAAAGAAATTATCTTTGTCTTCCCAGTGCTGACATTGCAGTGGTGACTATATTGCACACAAGCTGCAGATCTGTGCTGTCTATGTGCAACAGATCTGCCATATGAAGAACAGTGGGTGACAGGACTCTTATCTTTGCACCAATATATCACTAAAATACTTATTTTCCTCTTTAATTTATGGTCCAGACTAGAGCTCCAAATGCCTAGCTTGCCCTCATGATACTTGGCTGTGTAATTAAATCAACTCAGCTAGTTATGGACAAACACAGCTTATTCTGCAGTCACTAATCATCGTAACTATGGAATCACTCATAATATATATTAGTGCAGGCTCAGCATTAGACACTCCACAAAACACATGCATTAAAATGTACATAAATTTGCAATGCAATTTAAGACTTTCAAAAAGACAGTGAAAACACCAAGGACTAGCCAGTTAATATAAAACATGATTTGTGCTAAAATAGAAGTTTTGACTTGTATCAGCCCATTCCATTGGTATAGCTCCTCTGAAAGCACTTAAAACTTTAATACCTTTTCATTGCAGGTATCATATTATTGTGATTGTGCTGGTCTACTGCTTCCCACTGCTTGTCATGGGCATCACTTATTCCATGGTGGGAATTACCCTCTGGGGAGGAGAAATACCAGGCGACACATCCAACAAATATCATGAGCAGCTGAAAGCCAAGAGAAAGGTACTGTTCAAGTCAATCCCACTAAGTGAATATTTATATAACCATCTGCAATTGTGTTGCAACATAGCACAGTAAATTCTTGCAGAAACACCAAATCACTTGTAATAACAGTAGTAAGAGATCAGCTTCAATACAAAATTTGATTTAAGTTTGACAAGTTGTCTTCTCTGTTCACTGGCTGTTCTTTTCATAACTTTAATAACTGTCATTAAATAAAGGAAATATTTGGGTTTTAACTTCTTACTCCACATGTAGCTGCACACACTGTGTCTGCTATGTGGAAATTCAGGCAAAAAGTGTAGCTTTCATAGAGTTAAGATAGTGACTTTTCAACAATGAGCTAGCAAACTATTAGCTCTTGTTAGGTAAGATTCTCATCCAACTGAAACAAAAGTGAATCTTGCTGTACTCTCAGGTGATTAAGGTCCATGCACATTTGAGATAAGCACTGATCAGCCTGTTTGTAATAAATAATTGGATTTTTAAACAATAACCTTTCTGTGAGAAATGCAAACAAGTTTTCCAGATTTTTTTTTTCAATCTTTCACTGTAGTTACTGCTTAAGTTAAATAGACTTGGTATTGCTTATGAACTATTAGATTATCTCCAGTTCAGTTTTCCTAATGTTGTAGTGCAATGAAGGTTTCTTTCCTACAACATTCTTTTTCTTAACCTAAATCTTCTTATTTAGTAAGATAGCTTTCTGCTTTAATTTCTGACATATTTTTTAATACTAAAATGTATTTCACCTTTCAAATTTGAAAAAAATGGTACCCTACTACAATCTTCTAATTCACAACAACGAGCACATTTTCAGTTGCTCAGTTCACTTCCTGATGCTGTGATTGAACAGTGAAATATGCTACTGGGCTGCAGCAACAGCAGAGTGGGGCATATTGGGTCCTGAGACAACACAAGATCTCCTGCAAATTCTAGAGAACACTAACATTTTCATTTCTTTCAGGACACTGCAGAAATCACTTTCTGTAACAAACACAACTTGCAAAAGCAAATGTGGAAAGAAAATTATTAAATTATTGCAGAGCCAGGACATGCCAGAATTTCAGGACCTCTTATCATAATGACTAAGTAAAATAATCATCTTGTGACATAGAAACTAGAAGCCTCTGAAGACCAAATCTGGCTTTTACTATATGAAATAGAAAGCCCAATTAAATCCCTTGAATACTTTAAAAACAGCACCTGCTTAGAATTCAAAATATATACAAGAGACAAGGAAGAGCATCCTTAATTAAAGGATTTTCAATCCTACGGGGATGCATATCTTCAAGACATGCAACAAGGGAATTAAATTATGTGCAGATATATTATAACTGCATCAGTGACTTTATGGGTAGAGCTCCATGACAGCACTTTAGCTACACTGCTGTGCTCTCCAGCAGGATTTATGAAATAACTGGTATTTGGAAAGATGAATCATAATTGGTTATTCATGGGGAGGAACTAACAGACTGGAATCCAAATAAAGCCATAACTCGGCCTGCCTCTGATAACACAGCTAGTGCTTTGCTCTTTTCAGGCAAAGAAATAATCTGGTTTTCTTGCTTTTTAGTATATAGGTATCAAAACACATAGAAAATCTGTGCACTTATAATGAAGAAGAAATATAAAATAGCTGACTATGTTTCATATCAGGCAATGTTACAGCACAAAGGGGTCTGATTAGACATTAGGGTTGCTTGAAATGGTATTTATTATTAAGAAGGTAGTGAACAGTTCATGTAAGACCTTCAAAAGAAATATTGTTTGCCAGCAAAAGATGTGAAGCTTGAGAAAGTTGTTTGTAATTCAACAGATAGTCTCATCATTTCATATATATGATTGGGCAATACAGTCCTGCAGCCTCCTGAAAGCAACATTAAGGGATGAAGGATTCAAGGAATTTCACAGTGCACACTGCAGGCTGGCCAACAGAAAGCCCTGCTTAGTATCTTTAAGGGCAAAGACAAAATATTTACAAATTCAGGACTGGATGAAACTACAAAACTACTTTTGCCTTTTTTTTTCCTTGACACTCAGCTCAAATATCTCAGGGATGACCTATTTAAATCTGCCTGGTATTAGTTTTTTGAATTTCTGAACATGTGCTACATGCAGGGACTTTGCAGCCCTTATGCCTTCTTCTTAAAGCTCCTGGCATGAGCCTGACTGATGTTCAGCTGAACATCATTTATTCTCCTACAATTCCCATTTTCACAATATGGAGTTATAGCCTTAATGGTGTCACACATAAGTTTATACAAGTGTCTCATAATATTACTGTAAGATTCATAGGTCAGAATGTTCTTTGCATCCACTGCAAATTTTTGCTCTCAGATTTTGTCTCCACACCCTGCTTTAGCAAGATCCAATCATTCTTTCAGCTCTACTTTAACCCTGAGAAGGAATAATCATTTAAGACAAGTAAAAGCAGTTTGCATTGTTTCTATCAAGAGGTACCAGTTTTGATACAACTGTTTGCTGGAAAAAAAGGACATTTACCTTGACAGAAGATGCTGCTGCCTAGCCACAATGGGAAGAATACATAGGAACAGAAAATGTTCTCCTTAACATTTATAATTCCTTTACTCTTCCTTTTATTTATGGCTGTTACTTTGTGATGTCACCAGGCATCTTCTTCAGTAATTTTCATTCCTCCACACTTATGCTTCTGCCTGTATTTTCTGCTTCTCCTAACACAGCTTGAGGTTTCATCTCAACTTATTTTAGCAATAAAGATTGATTAAATTCAATATAATTTTTTTCTCAAATTTGAGTATAAAATAAGAAAAAAGCTCCATATGTTTGCTATCAAATCACAGCCTTTGTGAAAACTCCTCTATGAACACTTCACACATAGTTTCCTGGTTTGTTCTCTTTCTTTCCCCTTTTCATAGATTCAGAGAAAGTCCACGGAAGGGCAGTTAAAAATGATCAAAGGACCTATGAAGTGATTAAAATGTTTTTAGTTTGTAGATAAGATCACCAAATCCTGAAATACAAGAACTAGCAGGAGAGCACCACCAGGCTGGTAAAAGAGAGAGCACTTTAAGAAAGGGTAATTTAAAAGTCAGTAAAAGGCATCTGAGATGTTCTCCTGACAGATGCTTATGATCTCAGAAGATTCAGAAAGGTTTTAGGAAAATTAACAAACAATAAATTCATAAAGCACAGAGTTGGAAAAAGTTGGAAAAGACCTCCAAGATCAACAAGTCCAACCTCTGACCAGTCTCCACTGTCAACCAGACCACCACACTAAGTGCCATGTCCATTCATTTCTTGAACACTTTCAGATATAGTAACTCCACCAGTTCTCTGGGCAGCCTTCTTCAATGGCTGACAACCTTTTCAGTGAAGAAATGCTTCCTGATGTCCCAAAAATTCTCCCTAATGTCCAAGTAGATACTGAGAGGAAGAATCAGAGATGCATTCCTCTTTAATACAATCTTGGGTTCTGGGACAGTATTAGGAAAATAGAAGATGGATAACAGCCAGGTTCATGGGATAAACAGCACATCCTACTGCCTCCAAGACAGAACAGCAGGATAGATGGGCAAATGTGTGATTCAAAAAGAACTGTCCTATGTCTTTATACTCCTGTTTTCACATAGCAGTGCAGCTATAAAAATACTCCTGACTTTTCATTGACTTTCAGTGCCACTAAAAATGCAGATTTTCCTTTTTTAATTCTTTATTACATATGAACATGAAAACACATGAATGCATATTTTATATCACACATTACAAAGAAAAGTACTAGTAGGATACTTTTGCTGGCATGAAAAGCTAGCTAACCAGGTCAGACTGAAAAAAAAAAGTTTAATTGTTTCACTATGGAGTAGTTTATTGCAGAGCAGAGGCAGGAAAAAAGAGAAAAGGAAAAGGGAAAAAACAAGCAAGAAAGTCAAAGCCTAAAACATTGCAGCATGGCATCAAAACTCTTAAAATACTGACACAGATTTGAAAAAAACAAGACTATACTCATAATATAAAGCTTATTCAAAATAAATAGGTAATGAAAATACTACACTATGAACTCATAGATCAGATGATAACCAATAATTAACTCTGAAATCAGAGATCCTTCTAGTTAACAAGCAACCACTAAGCTTAGACAGACAGACCAGGGTTAGATATTGCTCCATTCATAAAACCTGTTGTGAAAGTTTACATCCAGCCATGTGAAACAAAATGTTTTGACACTCTGGGACCAAGGGTTTGTCTTGCATGCAACACCCTACACCAGCTTGAAACTTCACTTTTATCCTACGTATTTGTTCAGACTTCAAGATTAGAAAGTAATTGCTTCCTCATGGGACTTCATAAAAACATGGTAAGTTTAAAATCTTCAAACAGTTATTTAAAATCAGTTATTTAAGCAATCTATCTTCTGGCTTATCCCATCATGAGAACCAGCACTGAAATCTCCACTAACTTATATATTACATGCCATTTTCAAAATTACGTAAGGGAATAGAAGCTTAATGTAGCAGAAAGTAAACATAACTCGATTATCCTAAATTAAAAACACCCCCTGGAATCAACTACTCTACACAAAATTGTACTACAGATATCAAGAGAAAGCTCAATCTTGACAGCTGATGCCCTTATATACACTGAATCATCACCTGTGACTAGTTTTTAAAAGTCAGCCAGTAAGAAACACAGAATTTTATCGTCTTTTTCAGGTAAGGGTTTGCCAAGGCTGCATATATGTCAAAATATTCACTAGACATGTTTAGGTGTGCAAAGATAACAAAATTCTAGAACGTGCTGTATGTACAGTGAAGGCATCTTCACCCTACATACAATATAAGACTGCAGATCACCCAAACCTGATGAACATGCAAAGCAGTCTGCTGAAAAGAACTTACATTGCCATGGTGCCTTTTCCATAATTTATTTATTCACAGGGCACGAGTGTTTCCACCTTGAAGATTTGTTTGTGTTTGTGTGCCCAGACAGAAACGTCTGCCATGGTGCTGTCGAAGCACCTTACT